CATGGCACAGAGAAATATATTTTCATTTATAATTTGTTCCCTGTTCCCGGCCGCAAAAGATTCCCTGGTGTTAGGTCCAGACAGGACCCTTCACCTTACAGACTCCACGGTACGCCTAGAAGTTAGTAAATATACAGAAATAGTTTTTTGTTAGTACCCCTTTTTTTATTTTAATTTGCTTGGAATAAAAACCAGTGTCTTCACCTATCACAGGGGGAACTGGGGGGCTACAGGCCAGGAGTCCCTCATGGCCACCCTACGTGGAGCAGGGCCACTCACAGTGCCCCTGAGTTCCAGCTCTGCTGGCCCTGCCTGCACCGAGCCCTCCCCCGTGCCGGGAGGGGAAGGGCTTTCTCTGCCCTGACTTCACTAAAAGGGGGCTGGTCCCAGGAGGGAGCGTGTCTGGCCGCTGCAGGGGGGGGCTGCCCTGGGTCTACATTTCATTTAAGGCTCCTGGTGCTCAGTATTTCCAGGTGATTTGTGTTTATTTGTTGTATTCAGCCCCCAAAGGGAGCTGCGCTGGGAGCAGTGAGTGCTGGCAGCTGGAGGGGCAGTGGCACAGCACAGGCAGCACCCACGGCCACAGGGACCCCCGTGGGACGAGGGGAGGGCTGGGGCAGGGAGGTCGGCAGGGGCTCTCACGAAAACACAGGCAGCTGGGCCATGGGGGTGCCAGGACCCCCACCAGCAGCAGGACCCCCACCACGAGCAACTGTGCCAGAAAAGAGCCAAAATGGTTCTTGGCAGCCAAACCCCAATTCCAAGGTCCTGCCAGTGCCGGCTCTTGGGGGTCAGGCAGAGACCCCCACCCACCAGCACAGGGAAGGAACCAGCAGCACACCCCATGGGGGCAAGGGCTGCAATCCCCCCAGTGCCACTGTGTCCCAGAACACCTCTGCCCCGGGGCCAGGCTGCCACCCCTGTGCCGGGCACAGACCAGGAACACTCACAGCCCCTGCTCCCCCCTGAGCTGCCCAAACTGCCAGACCCCCGCAGTGAGGGACACGGGCACTGCCAGCCCCTCACCCTGT